TGAATGAATGAATGAATGAATGAATGAATGAATGAATGAATGAATGAATGAAATTCACAAGGGAAGAATAAAACAACAACATACTACCCTTCCTGGATATTTTCATCAGCAGAGGAAATGACAGCAAACTAGAAACCGAAGTCTATCAGAAAGCAATCCACACTAACAAAGTGCTCTGTTACCAAAGTAACATCTCAGAAACAACTAACAGACTGCTACAACCACAAAGCAACACTGCAGCACACAAACCAACTAAAGCCCTCCAAAACATCTTAAGCAAACCAAAAGACCCAGTAGCCCAAGAAGAAACAACAGGAGTCATCTACAACATACAATGCAAGGACTGGAACAGCCACTTTGTAGGGTGGACAGGCAAAGGACTAGCAGAGCCCATCTATGAACACCAACTAGCTGTCAGAAGACATGATGAAAACTCCTTAATCTTTTAACACATGAACGGACTCAACCATAGTTTCAACCAGGAAACTATTAGCATCTTTTGTCTATACGTGTGTGTGCCTTCGAGGCAGTGTTGACTCCTGGTGACTGCCTAGACTAGTCCCTGCAGCTTTCTTGGCAAGGTTTTTCAGAAGCGGGAGCCTTATTCTTCCGAGGCCTGAGAGAGAGGGACTGGCCCAGGGTCACCCAGTTGGCTTCGTGCCTAAGGAGGGACTAGAATTCATGGTTTCCCGATTTCTAGCCTGATGCCTTAACCACTATATCAGACTGGCTCTCATTAGCATCTTAGACCAAGCCAAATCCAAAAATGCTAGATAATTCCTGGAATCTTGGCATTCAGCCATCAATAGACACATAGAGATAAACCACATTTACATTCCATTCAAAAAAGAGACAATAAAAAACTTAGGAAGGAAACAAAAAGAGTAAAATACATCCCATCTAGCAGCCCACATACAGATAAGCAGGGATCAGCACCAGGGTTAGGCAGAAAACAATAATCAAGGAACCACCAAGGAGGAAACTACACCCCCACCAAAACTGGCAGGCAGCAAACCCCACATTCACTTGCACTGATGATGTTATTGACTTGGGTAGTGAAACGTCTGCAAGCAAACAACTAAGCTCAGGCAGCACCAAGAACTCCATATCAGAAATTGCCCCATAGAGGAGGAAAGGTATAAGATGGGAAAACTGAAGCTGGCTAACTGCTGGGCAACCACCCCTCTTACTTCAGGGAGTCATGGGGTAGTGATTGAAAGTACCCCCAAAAAAGGGGAAATTGGCAAATGAGCACTATTTCCCAACAGTGGGGATCTGATAGCTGAGCAGAGGGAAGGATATGCCTGCAGTTCCTAGCACTCCTAAAGTGCACCTTTTATTTTCAAACCACTTAGCACAAGAAACAGAAAACATGCTGGGGGCTGTGAGAAGCAGCATCAACAAATGAAGTTTTGCACACCATGCAATCCATGGCACCTCCAGATATATCTTTAAACATAAAAATGTCATTCTTGGAAAAAGTTCTATGGTGGGGGTACTCAAGTTATTCAGAAGAGCGGGATGTAAGATGTAAAAGGTAAAGAATCACGGGTACATGCTTTTCAGAAGTAATGGTCCTCTAAAGGAAAAGTCATTTAGCATCAACTGTGAAAATGAAAACACAGCTTAGAAGTAATCGGATTTATTTTCCGAAAATGTTTTTACAATTGAGTTTCCTGAAACATACAGTGAACCTTAAGACTAACATCCCCACGAGACTCTCTAGCTCCGACCTGCAAAAGCTGGTGCCTCTTTCTATGGCTCATTACACAGCCTGGGAGACAGCAGACAGGGCCTGATATATTCTTGATGTAGGCCATGACTGCCAGGCTAAGGAGCAACATGGGATAGTATTATTGTTGCTGCTCTTTGGATAATACCAGGCTGAACATCAAGTATGAGTGGAATGTCTAGTCTTAGCACCAAAGTGCCCCACTGACCCTTGAAAGAAAGGGTGCGGCCCCCTGAGAAATTCAAAGAGGGTTACCAGGCTGTAACTTTTAATATGACAGAAAGGGAACATCACTACATATATGACTAGAGAGTAACCTTATTAATGTTTACTTTTATTTAAATGTAGATGTAAATCAAACTATACTTAATTTTTTGTCTTGGTTTCTACCAGTCATTTTTGAAATGCAACCTCTGGCATGCAATGGGTTACCTTTGGCCCAGAGAAGGACTTGCACCATTGCCTTAGCAGATATTTATTTATCTATTTATAAATAATATTTGCAAGACTATTTACACTGTGAATGTGATTTATGAAGAATGAGAAACAGAAGGAAGGAGAAAAACCGTTTCTAATTTATGTGTCATTTTGGCACTTAATCCTCTGAGCACTCAAATATGCCCTCTTTCTCCTAATTCTTCTAACAAATTCTAAACACAATAACAAAACACAAATGCTTCTGACGTTGATAAGGCTGAAAACATTAGCAAAATATTGAAGAAGGACATATTCTGTCTAGTCTTGTGAGGGCTCGAGAGAGATGTTTAGGAGACTTTAGTGCTGGGTTGGGTTTCATTTTGTTTTTTTGTGCCTTCCAGTCAGTTTTTGATTCCTGGTGACTACCTGGACAAGTGCAGTTTTCTTGGCAAGGTTTTTCCAAAGTGGTTTGCCACTGCCTCTCTCCTAGGGGTGAGAGAAAGTGGCTGGCCCAAGATCATCCAATCAGAAGCTCCCCCATCCTTCCCCAAATGGGAGGACAATTGAAATGACAAATACAGTGGCAATTCAGGGAACTGGGAACAGAAGGAGAGTAGTAGCTAATGTGAGATTCCCCAAATCTCACAAGTTTGCATCTGAATTCATATAATAATAAATCATGATGGAATTTCTTTTTCCACATAATCTACAATAGAAGATGTGAAATCACCTTTCCATAAGTGAAAATTGTTTTGAGGAGGACAGCCCCTATCCTTGCTTGCTTTCCTTGTTTGTCTGATAGCCTCATTTATTTTGAATTCTGAATATACAAAAAATAACAACAAAAAAGGTAGCCTCCTGCCCTACTCCCAAAGAAGCTTCCAATGGGTTCCTACCCTCTGTGCTTATCTGGGGGCACTGACTCCAGTGCAGCAGTTTTAGAAATACCTATTGTAAAGGTGGAGCAAAGACTGGAGGATAACTTCCCCAGGCAACTAGACTCTTCCCTGTCTTCTTTACTGCAGAGCAACTAAAACTTTGGAAAATATTTGCATAACATAAGACATTATGAGAGCCGCAGAAAGATAATACTTGGCAAGAGTCTTAGATTTGACAATGGGTTTTTAAGAACTTGGAATATTCAGATGATGACACTGTTGTTCTTCCATTTTATTATGTATTTATGAAATTTGCTGATCGTTGATTAAAATAAAATTGACTGCTAAAATAAAATTGAATGATACATCTCTATGAGAGTTAATTGTGTGAAGGCAGTTTCTCACTGTAGGGTTACTCTAAAATATTCTGAGCAGGAAACACTATTAGAGAAGGGAGAAGGAGGCAGGTTAAAGATCACAGAATCAGAATCAGCTGGAAGGGTCAAAAGGGGCCACTTAGGCCATTGAATCCAGCCCCCAATCAGTGCAATGTAATGAAATATGTATTTTGCATGCCTTTCTTTGTGAAAGTGAACCAAAGGAATGCTCTTGAGATGCTTTGGGAGCCAGCAGTCTCTCTAAAGAACTGCTCCAGGGCAACACGTCTGCTTAAGCACTGTTCAGTTGGTTAATACTTCAAGTTATAATTTTTAATACTTTAATACTTCAAATTATAATACTTCAAGTTAATACTTGAATTTTACAAACAACTGTAAGTCTCCAAGGGCATCCTTCCAAAGTAAACTCAATCAGTAAACTCCCACCCTGGAGAAGTACAGGTAGTCCTCGCTTAACGATCATTTAATGACAGTTCAAAGTTACAATGGACTTGAAAAAAGTGCTTTACAACCTGTACTCACACTTATGACCATTGCAAACCATCGCACCTTCCACAGTCACATGACCGTGATTTGTGACCTTTTTAACAATGGTCATTAAGCAAATCACCACGGTTGTTAAGCGAATCATGTGGTCCTTAAGCAAATTCTGGCAAAAAAGTCCATTGGGGAAGCTGGATTCACTTGATGATCACATGATTCGCTTAACGACCCTGGTGATTTGCTTAATGACCATTGTAAAAAATGGTTGTAAAATTGTGTCTGGTTACATGATGACTCGCTTAATGATCACCCCAATTAACTACCAATTTTCCAATCCCTATTGTGGTTGTTAAGCGAGGACTACCTGTACAGCAAACAAACTCCTCAAAACATCACACACTATTGGCTGAAAATATATAAGGCCTGGGGAGTTGGCTTTCAAAAAGTAGCCAGTGTCCCAAAGATTCCCTTGTATAGGCTGGGGAGAAAGAAGGGCAAGGTGTAAAAGTGAAGTAAAAGTTTTGTCTTCATTTTGTTTAGCAGGCAAAGCAGGAATATCTGTAGTTTACTATAATGAACCTTATATTCAGTTATTAAAATCAACAAGACACAGTAAATAAGTATCTTGTGTCATTTGTCTGAGTTCTTATATCAATTCATGTTTATACCATATGAGTCAAAGGAAAGAAGCTGTAACAGTTTTTCTGCTCCACCCCTTAATGTTTACAGTTGAACTCACTATTATATCATCTTAGTTATGTCCATCATTTGTGCAGAGCTGAGGTACTTTCACAAAGTGCCTTCTGTCAGGCAGTGGGATGCTTAGTGAAAGGATCAGGTATGCAAATAAACACAAAGGCAGGTCCAGCAGCCTTGGTGCTAAAGCTACTGAGCTGGCTGATACTCACATCGGTGACATTGACTACACCAATTTGAGGCTTGAACAGGTCAATCTTGAATGTCTTTTCCCAGTATGTGATCAGCTATAGAAGTAAAAGAAAAGTGAAGCTTATTTATACTTGCATTCATATTGTGAATTCAAGAAGTTTGAGGTCAGGACTTCATTTCCACCTAATGGTCAACCATATATTTGCAGTCCAGATATGGGGTAGGGCAGCACAATTTCCATTTGGTTGGGAGGATATATGGAGAAAATATGGTTGGGGGATTTTGAACTACATAAGGTGCAATAGAAGCTGGAAGCTGAAGACATCATGGTAGGAACAGAGTCTGTGTCGGTGAGGTAAACCTCTAGATTGTCTCCTGAGGTAAGCAACAAGAAGCTGAGAAATGGAGACAAGAGATATTGCAGCAGGTTTCCTCTGCTATGCTTGCCTTCAGCACGACTCTTCACCATTGTACAGGAGCTCCATTCCAACAAGATCTAGCAGGGACAATGGAAGGGAGTAAGCCTTTCAGGGGCAAGAGGGTGCTGGAGAACAGACTTCACCTGGGTCATTTTCCAGGTGAAAGGACCCAGCTGCTGTCACCATGCTATAGCTTATGCAGTGCAAGATGAAGGCCTGCTAAGCCTTTGTGTGCCAGCAATTGTGATTTAGCAATATTGATGGCTCATTCAGCACCCTTTGGATAAAAACAAAAACTGACTTAACATTTCATGCAATTGCATACTAAAAGCACACTCAGGATATATTGGCAAAGCACTTTTAAGAACCTATGCTTAAGTCTAAGATCACTTAAGAAAAACCATCCAGGCTGTGACCATTTTGCAACATCTTGAGAATGATTCAGTTTGGGCTGCAAGTTATCACATTCTCCCACTGGATAATTCCCCTGGAGCTGTGCCTTCCCAACATTTGCTTTCTTTTACATGGGTGGGTCTTACATGCAATTAGTCTATTGCAGAAAAAACAATACAATATTTCTTGAAAACATTTATTGATTTACTAATTTAACTGGGTGTGATAAACTACTGACAGACATTGACCTGATGTTTATTGAGTTTTAGAGAGTATTGCTGCAGGATCATTGTTATTGCTGACAGACTCTTATAAGTATTGAATAACATTTAAATATTAAACATTTATATAAGAACTCTAATAAATTATGGTATCTATCAAATATTTTAATATATTTTAATATACCTAATTTTAATCACTTATGTTTCTCTTCCTTTATATTTCATTAAATGTCAAGATACACTGAGAAAAATCAAAATGGGATTTTAAAAAGATATGTGCTTCAAAAAGAAAAATGTGGACCACATGAGAAAATGTTTCTAGATGGAGTTATTTGAATATTTCCAAATAGGAAGATGTATTGATCAAAGAAAGTTATTGAATAAATTATTAAAAGTCTAACCCTATTTGAATTTTACTATGACTAATAAAACTGCTTTTGAATATATATAGTAAAGCTGCACTTAATTTTTAAGAAGTGATTATAAATGACATTGCTACAGCAATGGCAATTCTTATTCAATATTTGCAGCAGTTTGCTTTAAATAAAGAAATGTATGCTGCCCAGAGACACACTGTTTGAGTTGGGCTGCCTTACCAATCAAATAAATAAATAGAGGAACTGTTAACCCACTGCAGAAAAAAAGAAAAAGAAGATGTGAGGCTCCTCTTTCTTCACTCACAGAACGGTTTTGAAAATTGCAGATTTCTACAGATTATACAAAGTAGAATTGTGTAAAATCAACTGATCCTTGTATTTCTTTTGTGAAATTCAGAAACTTTCTGATACTGAAAAACACCTAGGGGAAAAATGTTTTATATACTTAAGTTGTAAGAAATACTAGAATACTGGGGACTCCCAGGTGGAGAAAATGGAGGACTAACATGCCTCTAAACAGCAAAGATGATGCCATGGTAGAGATTGGTGACCGAGTGGCAAGCCCGGGCCAACAGAGCTTCCCCAAACAAGGAAAAACCAGGAGATTGCCCACTTGTGCTTCAGAAGGCAGCTCCTTGCAAGGAAACCTGCAGAATTTGGAGGGACCCTGTGGGAGACTTGCAGAAAAAAAGATCAAGCATACAGTCTCATGCAGAGCCTGCTTAAGGACACTCAGTTTGTCCAAAACTCCACTTTCTAGTGCATGTTTGGATTACAAAATTTTAAAAGTTACACAGGTCTTCTGAGCAGCAGAGCAATTAAACCAAGGTGAGTGATCCTTCAGCCCGGATTAAAGTAAAAAGTAAAGAAATAACTATAAGGATTTAAAAATAATTAAAAGCAAAAAGCATGCCAAGAACTTGAACTAAGAAAGTTTAAAACAGATTAAAGGAAGAGCTGAATTTAACATTGTTTATTCTAAAGTACTTTTGAATTAATTAAATAAATAATACACACCTCCATTGGAACAAGGATTGTTTAAATCTGCTAACATGTGATTGCTAAATTATATAAACTTTTGCTGAGATTTGAAACAGAAGAAGGACAAGTTACATGATAAAATGGGCTAAGAATTTTGGTTATAACATATAGAGAGAATGTAGCTAAAAGGACTGAAATTCATATTATGTTACAATTTTAGAGAGAACTTTTATAAAATGTTGTACCATTGGTATATGATACCAGAGAAATTATCTAAGATGTATAAAGTACTTCTAATCAATGGTGGAAATGTGAACAACATGAAGGGACATTTTACCATGCATGGTGAACTTGCAAAAAAGCAAAAAAATAAAATAAAATGGAGACAAATACATATAATCACACAAAGAATTTTAAAGACCAATATTCAATTGAAACCAGAACTTTTTTTATTGGGACTTATGGATAATCAACTAGAAAAGACTTATGGAAGATTGGTTTTGTATATGGTAACTGCAGCGAGACTATTATATGCACAAAGATAGAAAAATACTGAAATATCCACAATGGAGGAGTAGATTGTGAAGAAGGCAGAACTTGCAGAAATGGCAAAATTGATCTGTTTGATCATGGATAAGACAACAAGTACTTTTATAAAAGACTTTTTGATGAAAATGGAAAAAAATGAATTGGTGATTTATGGATTTGCTGATTTAAAAAGGTTGAATATGGGTAGAAGGGAATCATGTTGTAATTTTAAAGAGGAAGAGGGATAATAAGTTTGTAACTGTTTTTTCTATCTGCACTGTTTCTTGTATTTTTTTCTTTTCTTAATCTTACACTATATAATTTCATGTTTACCTTTTACTTATGTGAAAATCTCTAATAAAATTACATATAAAAAAGAAATACTAGAATATTGGCATTGATATTAATACTTATAAATCTTAAATTCATGTATCTCTATATTGGATTTTTTCTATTGATGGTGGTACACAATTGATTCACATGGTCACATTTGCAAAAATTTGCTCTCTATTGTATCTGGAATGTATATGTACTTCTATGCGTACATGAATGTAAGTGTGTAAAAAATGAGAAGGGACCAGCTGGGGGAGAGGGCTACTTACTAGAGGAAAGTCATCAGGATCAATCCAGACAATGCTTAGATCAGGATTGTCAGTGTTGTCTTTGGCAACCTGCTTGACAATTTCCAGGAATTCAAAGCCATCTGAAATGATATTAATGGTTAAGTTATTCTCTTGTGGATTGCTCTGCAGAATACTTGGGGCATTTACAGTAACCAGACAAGAATGGCATATTTCAAGCAACTACAATCGTGTAAGAGAAGATGATTTCAGTGCACCATTTCTCAGTCCTACCATTTCATTAGTGGCACCATTCTTCACTGTCTGCTTTCAAATTTGTCTGATACCTGCCAAGTCCTTTCTGTAGACACTATTCAGCCCACTCAGTACTTCTAAAGTAGCCCCAAAGAATGGAAGATATTCTGGTGAAGAACTTTTTTGGTCTAATTCACTACAATCTGTCTGTTGTTTCTATTTCTAGTGTTACACATACTGTATCAATGGGGAGTAAATGTCCTCAGAATGAGGGTGAAGGTGGTACCAGCCACATCTGAAGCATAGAGCAGGAAGAGAACAGCTAGCAATGAATCAGTGATTAAAGTATTATTGCAAACGAAACATTTCAGGGAATAAGAAGCTGAAAAATGCCCAAATAAATGGTTTGTATTCCAAAATCTGATTCCCTAGTTCAACCTCCTTTAGCTTTATCTGCATAAAGGAAAAACGCAAAAATACATACAGCCCCCTTCCCTCCTCCAAAAGCATGGGAATATATACACTTCTGTTTCAAGCTAACTTCTCATACATCTGAGGAACGGGACATAGTTCATAGAAGTAAATACCATATTCAATGGGCATAGGCTTTGATGCCATAGGACTCTTTCTTGTAATAGATTAAAACAGTCATCCCGAGAACAGTGATTACTTTAGCACCAAGACCTGCAATAAGCCTGTGTGTTTTGTACCTGGATCACTTTCTTCAGCAAATGCCACAATGTGAATTCCATCCAGATCATCCTCCTGTATACAAAAAACATGTTCTGGTGAGTCCAACATTATTAGTTGTGAAGTATACAATTATTACCCCACAAACACACATATATCACATACCGCTATTCCATGGTTCCAAATTGCCTATACAAGATAGATAGATAGATAGATAGATAGATAGATAGATAGATAGATAGATAGATAGATAGATAGATAATAAATGAACTTACAGGTAGAAGCACTGGTTATGTTTACCCTGAAGAAGAGAAGATTGTTGGGAGACATGATAGCTTTCTTTCAGTATTGGAAGAGCTGTCTTGTAGAACATGGAGCAATTGCTCCAGAAGGCAGGGCAAGAAACCATGGATTTAAATTACACAGAAGTCAGTTTCCATTGCACATCAGAAAAATATTCCTAGCAGTGAGAGCTGTTCAACAATGAAACAGATTCTCAGGAGGTGGTGAATTCTCTTCACTGGAGATTTTTAAGAAGAGGCTAGATGGCCATTTCTTGGGAATATGGTAAGTGGTGCATTTCTGCACTGAGCTGGAGGCTGGAATAGAAGATCTCCAAGGTACTTTTGAACCTAGATATTCTATGATTTTAAATTACTTAAATCATTGCAACTTGGTGATTACATGAATCAAATGAAGTTTGCTTCTGCTGGTTGACGTTTAATTACTTTGCATTAAACATAATTTTGTCATATAAGAGTTTTAGAGTAAAACAAATAACAAAAAATAATAGAATGAACATTTATAATCATGTATATCTGTAATCATGTCCTAATGCAGGACCTGTGGAAAGTCCTGTGGAAAGTGCCCTGCTGACAGCTTAAATTCAGACATTTTGCATTTAGCTGCCCCACTATGCTCTGACTGGAAGCCAGGGGCATTAACAGAGAGGAATCCCAACATCAGAACTACAATTAGCTTTTTTTTTTTTTACCAAACTGCTAACTGAATGTACAAGATGCTTCTGTGAAGAGAACTCAGGTTTTTCCAGAAAATGCTGATTAATTTAACACTGCAACCAATAGTAAGGGATTCCAGAGCAGTGAGGAATGTAATAATAGCTTTCTTAAGGTAAGATTACCCACCAGATTTGACAACCAAATTATACAATCATAGGTCCATTAATGAAAAGAAGTCAATCAAGCTCATCCTTCTGTTGCTTGATACTATTAGGGTCCAAAGATGATGGCCACAGATACAGTTATGGGTTCCTCATGCTCCTTGCCTTAGTTGACTAAAAAAATGTTTCTTTTAATTTTAACAAAAAGAATTGGGAAACTGGTGTCCTGCACATTTTTTTTTGAATTTCTAAAAATGTATCTTGGACCTTAGAAGGAGAAAGCAGCCCAGGCCTTAGGATAACAAAACAAAAATTGGTTAGATTTACTAGGGAACTAGAGATGGCATGGAGCTCCCTCATTATTACGCCTTTTGATAAATGGGTGTTTTTTGACTTGCTCCACCCATTTTGGCAATCATGCCTCCTGGCACAAAGGCAGAGGCCCTCTGCAGCCAGAGGGTCCCAAGGGAGGTATAAAAGCAGGAAATAGCTGCAAAGAGATTTAGGCAGATATGGCTATAAAAACTAAAGAAAGAAAGGAGACTTGTGAAAGGTTGGTATTAAAAATGAAATCTGGGACAGATTTTCTTCCAAAAAAGTAGCAGCCAAACCTTGGGCAGCTGGGTACAGTGAAAATTATATTGGCAAAATCCCCCAGAGTTGGCAGGGAGGATGTTTATTGTGCACCTGCTACAAACGTCATCTTGGAATTATACCATGGAAAACCCTCATGTTCCTTGTCTTCCGCCAATCCCAGCTTTCAATTTCAATTGGTATTAATGCAAGAGGAAAAAAATCCATCTAAATGCTAATGTCTTTCCCCTCTGAGTCCAAAAGTGACAGAACCCCCATAAAATGAAGAATTAAAAGAATAAGTGGAAAACATTGGTGGAGGGGTGGGAGAGAGAGATTGTAAGACCAAGGCTTTTGCTGGCTTCCACAGGGGAATCAGAGTCTGAGAGGGATGTTTAGAGTAGATTTATGACTGAAATTGGAGCAAAAGTAGTCCAAGATAGTGTGTGCCTTCTGTGCTTCTTTCTTGCTTTCCCTACACACATCCACTCAATCTCCAGCTGTCTTAACACAAACGCAATGCCAGAGTCGATAACTCATTAAACAAAAGGCCTAGCTCTTCTCTCCAGTGCAATGGAAGAAGACTTTCTCCCAGTTCTTCCAGGGCATATATAATTATATGCCAGAGAACACAGGCTGTTGCTTAATTCAGTGGCAGAAAGCAAAACTTTATCTGCCACACTAACCTGCACACTTGCATCTGAAATGACATTTCAGTGTGTCAGCTCTACCAATTCCAATTGACAACAGTTCCAGATGTTTTCAGGCAAAAATCCTACCTAGCTATGGAATAATCTCTTAACTGGAAACGGTAATGTTTGCACCTCAGATCTTCGGCATGCAAAACAGAAATAGTTTGCCAGTGAGCTCAAATTACTCCTTATGTGAATGGTATAACTTGGGATTTTTCACATTTTAGGACCCTTCTCCTCCTCCCCATTTTCTTCTAGATACAAGTGAGGGGGGGGGGATATATTAAGCCATATCCATCTATGATTCTGATTAAACTTCTAGCTGCTATGTGTGTTAAGAAAAAGTGCTCCTATTCTTTGCCATTGGAAATTCTTCCCTCTCTAAGACAATCTGTGTGTGTGGATTTTCATCAGCATTATGACTGAAAAGGAAAAGGCTAAATTCTCTTTCCCAAGCACTATGACTCCCCATGTACACAATTTTTACACTTTTAAAATTCTCTAAAATGCTTGCCATCTATCCAATTAATAAAAGGTACCATACCCCTCCAAATAGCCCCTGGCAGAAGCAACACAGAGTATTTCCTGTGAACTGAGCAGTGTTCTAACCAACAAGGAAGAATAAAAGCTGGCAAGAAAGTAGCACTCAGTCCATGTCTTTCTTTCTGTACATTAATGAGGTAGGGTGGGGGTGGGAGAAAAAACAGGCCCTTACCCAGTTTAAGAAGCCTGGCAAAATGGTGTCAAGGCATCATGGTTTAAAGGTACTTCCATGCAGTCCTTTGGCAAATCTCCTACAGTAGTGCACCCTGGAGTTCCCAAGCTGATTCTCTTCTGGCTCAACTGTCAAAAATCTCAATTTTTGATCTGAGATGCTGGAGCAACATGGGCTTGCAGACAAGCCACCTTCCTATTGGTGGGAAGTACCACCTCTCTCTCCCTTCCTCACCACTAACAAGCCACCTTAGGACCCCATTGCCCTTGCACTAGGCTCCTGGGTGGCAGCCAGCAATGTTTTTATTTTTTGCCTCACCCCAAAGCGAGCACAGCGATGCAAGGACTCAGGGACAGGTCCTTGGGGATGCTCCCTCACTGACCAGCTCAGGTGTATGCTTGCAACAGCCACAGGAGGGACACCTGCGGCCATTGAGAGATTGGATCTGAGAACTGGGGGAACTCGAAAAATAAAGCATTGGTAAAATAAATTCTAAGAAACCTGATGAAATAAAGACAGGAGCTGCTAAGCCTTAACTTCAGCAGGGAGAGAAGAAAACTAAGGAACCAGGAATGCACAGTTTCTTATTAGAAGTGGGAGCATTCTGGAGGGCAGGGAAGCGGGGTTTATAGCTATAACAGAACAGCGATGTCTTTGGCACCAGTCTAGCCGCATCCTCCCAGGAGAAAGTCGAAGAGCGAGTACACTTGGGCCTGGGAAGAAAGGCAGAAGGAAGTGGCCTCCACTTAGACCAAAGAACAGCCAGAGGAATAGACCAAGACTCCCTGGCTACACCCTGCTGCCTCCTTGTGGCCGGTAGGGCACGGGACGCACTTCCAACGGTTCTACCCGCAGGAAGCCATTCGGCCTGCGGGCTCGATGTTAATACCGCAATTTATTTTTGGATCATGAAAGACCAATGGCGTTGTGGGAACAACACAGGAGCATGGAGCCAATTCCTAATCGGCACAAATCAGGTGTGTGGATGGAGCCCGAGTCTCTCTGCAAGTAAACTGGCTCACAGATAATAGCCTAGAAAGCCTGGCTGGGCTTGAAACAGCTTTTTCTCAGCTTTTAGGAGCTGAGAGATACAGGAGATCAAGGCCTGGATTCAGTGCTGTCTTCTAAGACTGGTGTTCTTCAGATAAACAGGGGCTCCCTGAGAATCTTTTAATTAGGGACATAAAGGATTGACCTAGGGATTTCTGCAGTCAAAGCATGTATTTTATGAGCCTAAAGATGCTGTGTTTGGGAAAGGGGGAATCTTTACTGAACTTCCCTGCTAGAGGTGTGCTTAATGCCCATTTGAGGTTTTACCACTGCTGAACTCTTCCCACTTCCTTTCAGGACCATTACTAGGAGTTGCAGGGACCATCTGGATGGGGTGAGAGGTGAAGGGCAGGAAGAGAACAGGTACAGAAGAGCTACAGAACAGCTTTCTATGTCCCCTGTCAATTGCATTATTACCAAACATCAAAATAAATGAGATGTAAAACTGCTGTAGCTTAGCTGCTTTAGATTTAAAACCCTTCCAAATCTTGCACTCAGAGACAAGCTGTTCCTGTTGTTTTCTATCTGTGGGAGAGGCAGGAAACAGTTAATGATGAAGTATTCAGTACAAGCTTCCAGGACCTTTTCTCCCCATATTCCAAGATCCAGTCCTGCTATTAGAAAAAGAGATGAGGTCTTTCATTCCTTTCTAGGGGTATATGTGTGGAGTATTCTCTAAATTATCTAAATGCAACATAGTACATGCATGTCTATCTTTGTATGATGTGCTCGACATTGCTTCTCTTAGAAGCAGGTCTCTTAGCAGTGATGGCTCATTCTCACCTGGTCTTATCATCTATACCCAACTCCTGTTGCTGCAAGAAATTAGCTCTGACATTTACAGAGTGCCCTGAATTGAGTTTTGTAGATTAAGAGAGGAAGAATCCTAGCCTGAATGCATATGTATTGGTTTGTTTAACTTTTGAGCAGGATATAAATACAGGAAAAGATTAAAAATTTAAAACCACTATGGAAAGCAGCACAATAAAATAAAATATTCATCAGCAATAAGACAGCAATTGCCATGGCATTAAAATCTCAATAATAAAACTAGCAATATTATACTGGGGAAAAATAGTAAAATAATATTTTTAAATACAAAAAGGACTGTCATGTAGATATCAGGTGAAGCAAGGTGCCCCAAATGAAAAAGCCCTTGCTCCTCTGGCCAGTTCTTCCTAACTTATTTGGCCAGAGGCACCAGAGAAAGACTTCAGAAGGCAAATGTCAGACTTGAACACCTAAATCATGAATACTAACATTACTTTTATTATAGGGTTACAGTAACAGAATCTTGCAACTCTGAATGTGCCTCCCTCCTCCCTCCCTTTATCCTAAAGAGAACTAGGGAGGGCCAAGTCTGAGATGCTTTCTCAAATTCCATTTCTGCTCTGGACTTGGATTTCTCTTATTTGACCATTGCCTTGGCTGCAGCTCTTCCTCCTGTTCCTCAAGGTTATTCTCACCGTCCATTATAGCAATCCAAGGATTTAGGTAGGCAGAAAGAAATACTCTTTTTGATAGCCTGCCCCAGGCTCCCTATGGCTTCATAGGCTTTACTACCCCTTTGAATTTGGCCTTGAAATGGCAAAGCACTGATCATAGTATGATCTAATTAACTGTCTACTGGCCCTGTTTGAACCAAATGAAGTTTCTGGATCATTTTCTAGGTTAGCTCCAGGTATAAGACATTGTAACAGTCCAAACAGCATGAATAACTTGCACGTCCAACCTACAAAAACCTTCAGGCCCTTCTTTTAGCTTTTCTAACCAGTCCAGGGCCTTTTTCATGTGAATATTCCCTAAAGTTTACAATTCCCATTGCTTACCCAAGTCTCAAACATGTCTTCAGGCTGCAACTTGCGCAGTGTGGCTCTGAAAGGGAAGCAAATGGTTTGTAGTTCCATTCAGTTCTATTTCAATTCATAAGAATGTGTGTAGGGAGATCAGACTCAGAAAGCATGACTGGTAAATCAGAAACAAGTTCCATAAAACTTTACAATCACTCTTCAACAAACGCAGAAGGACTGGAGGATGCTTAGGAAGGAACATCAGCAGATGGCATTAACTTGAATAGCAGCAGTGTACAGGAACTAATTCTCTCAGGCACAAAGTATTATAGCCTTTTCCTTCCTTTTTCTCTCTATTACCCATGTAGGGTAGAAAGAATTCTCTTCCCAAGAGGCAAGTTGTATGGCAGAAGCGTTACATGAACTGGACTTTCAAATAAGCAATGAAATGTATAGGGTGGGGAATGCAGACAAAGCCCTGTGGATTACAGTGTTGTGAGGGGGGGAAGGATTTTGTGTGCTAGTTAATAGATCTTACATTCTTTTGTATTTTTCACAGATAAATAGGAACCTTGAAAGCATACAGATATTAACCAGCCATTAGATCCTCCTTTTCAGTTACCAAATGTATGCTAATATCCATTCATAAAAGGCTCTTTCTGTAGGTTTTAGGAAAAACTACAGATAAAAATGGAGCCTATAAAACGCTAGCCATTGACCAGCTCTAGATATAATGACTCTACCAATCTTAAGAGGGAATAAATAGAAATTCATTATTTTTGGATGATTGGCACTTGAAATGTTGGTAGAAACATAGGTGAAATGCTCCAAATGCCATTCTCTATACCTTCTGTGCTCATTCACAAATTCAACCAATTCTTCTTCAGTATATGGCTTGTCAGGGACACGGATGGGATCATCCATAAATGGCTCATAGAAATCCACCTCATTTAGCTTTAGGCCCAATTTCTTGGCTACCTATAAGAAATGAAAAATGCTACATTGGTAAATTATTGTAATTTATTTTGCTGAAAAGTATGGTACATGTAGTTATTGTGGACTCACCACAGTAACTTCTACTTCTGAAAAATACATTCTAATATTGTTTGGAACATATCAATATTATATGAATGTTCTTCAAATATTAAAAATATTCCATCTGATTCCTGAGTTTAAACAGTACACTCCATGTCATCAGCAAAGCTGCTTTGAAAGCTACAAAGCAAAAATATAGTTGGCACTAGCATATAATGTTCAGCATATAATTTTTATTTTTAAAAAAACAGGCACATGATTTTGTTATGAAAATTTATACCCTATGACACTAGGAATGGTATTTCTTAAGGTATGATGCTATAATAGCAGCCTAATTCATGAAATAAGCTCATGGAGCAAGCAAACAGGGGGAGCTAACAGGAATTTGTCTGTGGAGTCCAATAGAAGGAAAAGAGAGCAGAGAAACTGTATATTCTGAGGGACTGTGTACTGAGTTATGATGGGTGAAAATGTCATATCCTTTGTAACTGCTGATTACTAGGGTTGTGTTCTAAGAGATGCTGATTGCCCACTCTGGATGATAGGTGAATGTTTCCTTTTGGGTAAGCAGAGACTGTAAGAGGAATATAGGGCAGCCTAGTTCTAGGATACAAGGTCATAGAGTGAATGAATATGGAGAGCTAACAGAAGTTTGCCTAGGTAGTTCACTGAGGAAGTTTAAGGAGGAATCCCTAACAAAAATTTCCTCTAATTCAACCATGTGTAGTCTGGGAGCCTAAGAAAGGAACAGAAGAATAAAGGAACAAGACATAAAAGCCTTTCCATGGATGGTGCCCTGAAAAGGAATTCTGAATGGACAAAAGTCTGCTATTGTGATCTGTAGTACTTGTGACATGTTCTTCCTACCTGAAAACAACCATTCATACACTTGCAGCAAATGCAAACTTCTAGCAGTCCTTGAAGAAGAATTGGAAGAGTGAATGGCCACACTTAAGCTGAAAAGAATTCTTCATTTTGAAGAAAGAAGGCTCTGCAAAAGATTTTTACTGTGGAAGCAATTGTTTCTAATGCAAGGGTTCTCAAACTGTGGGTTGTGCTCCCTGACGGGTTTGTGAACAGATTTTGTGGAGATCTCAAAATTTCTTGGGGATCAGATGAGTTGCACAGATCAATTCCCAGGGAAGGGAGGAAGAAAGAAAACCATGCTGCATTTAGTATGCAATCAGTGGGAAGGAGAAGCACAGGCTGTTTGCCATTTGCCCTGGATATTTTAGCTTGGGGAAAGGCTAATTAACACTAGCCCCAAACAAATCACCCACAGAAGGCCTGATGTATTTGTGTGGTTGCAGTCCAGCTTTGAGTGGCCAGAAGAGTTGAAAAGCAGGCAGGGAACGCAGCATCTCCAGAGCTCCAACTCCCAGAGAAGGCAGGAGGGAAGAAGCATGCGCTGCATGAGATGCAAGGCTGATGGGAGGGGGACATGAAGAGAGTGTGGCATCAAGCTCAACATTCTGGGTAAAACAGTGCACTCCTCAGCTGCTTCTACCACCATTGCCAAGCACCTACTGTTGCTCAGGGCAGAGCAACTGCTCCCACACCCACCCAGGAAGATGGAAAGCTTGCCTGTGTGACCCTCGGGCGTTTCCACCCAGTGGGATGGGGACACATAAAGCACACCACTTCTTAGGGTAACCTTGCCACCTGAGCTTCATTGCCCTTCCCAGGAATGCAGTTTCTGCAGCAGTTTCCCCCCCAAATAGCTTGCTTCCAGGTGCAGAGTGAGGATTTAGATCCCAACATTTTCAGCCAGCTTTATTTACTAAATGTACGGTCATAGCTAAATAATACCAATGTAAAGGAAAAATGTACCTTACAGGTAGAACAGAATATAAAAGCCAGATAGAAAGAGAAACTAAAATTCTTGTCCAGTAGTGGAATATTCATGTTGCTGGTTCAGAATTTGACTTCTGATCTTCAAAGTACAGTGGTACCTAGTATCTAATAGAACGCCCCTACTTATGAATTTTTCGAGATACGATCAGCTCCGGCCCCAAAAATTTACCTCGACTTGCGAACTCGCCTCAACTTGCGAACCAGATCTGCGGCCATTTTCCGCCCGTTCCACGTGGTCCGCGGCCATTTTTCCGCCCGTGCCATGTGGTCCACGGCCATTTTCCGCCTGTGCCATGTGGTCCGCGGCCATTTTTCCGCCCATTCCACGTGGTCCGCGGCCATTTTTTCACCCTGCCAAGTGGTCCGCGGCCATTTTCCGCCCCTGACACGTGGTCCGCA